ATTGCTCAACTCAAACAAGAGAGCCTTAAAAACACAGCATTGGATTCTAACAAACAGCTACTATTTACATTTTGCATTTGTTTGTTTTTCAGTTCTTTCCAGTACATTTTAGTTGATTTGAACTAACTGCTGTACACAACATAATTGCTGAGTATGAGCTAGCAGTTCTGTAGATGGTTAGCTGCTAGTAATTTTACAATCCCATGAACAGCCTGAGGTGTGAGTCAGCAAAGATCACGAGCCACAGTTGCTAGCAGCTAGAGAAGAATTCAGTTTCCGCAAGAAAAGATAACACGTTTTAGAACTTTTGATCTATTCTTTGAGGCTCAATTAACAATGATTTCATAGATCGTCATAATACTATTACATTCTTAAATTAAGCATCTGATGCTACCTGAAATATCTGTCATAATATATTCTCTTCGGGAAAAAGAAATAAATTCAAAACCAGCAGTGACAGAGTGAATTACACATGCCTTTTTAGTCCTTTTTTCTAAACAGCACATGCTAATAAAAACCAGATACTAAGATAAAATGCCAGAATATCAGAATGTATATGTTTGCCTTGTTTGCTTTTGAGTCTGAGTATGGTCTTATAATGCTAATATCAGATCTCACTGATATATAATTAGCTATAATACAAAATAGAAACAAATTTGTTAAAGGCACAAGCCAGAATTCCACTGAGTTAATAATATTTATTGTTTTCATCTCTAGCAGCCACAATCCAGATAATACAAACAGAATGAAAGAGGATCAAAATAGGGAGTTTCCTGGGGAACGATCCAGGTGACACAAGTTGGATAATACTAAGAGGAGTTGGGCAAACCTTCTCCTTGCAAAATTTATTCCTGTACAGTGTATACTGAAGAAAAAGACACATGATCATTAAAAACACAGTTTTTGCATCCATCTCATCTCTGTAACATTCCAAGTTACCTATAAGGTTTGAAACACGTAAAAATCATGCATCTATTTTACACAGAACTCTCACTGGGCATGACGAATGACAGATCTCCTTTACATTCACTGTCAGTCTGAAGTTTTGTGCAACACATTATTTGCAAAGAGGGCTGAGAGTAACTGTGCACAGGGTGATGTGTCTAAAAAGAGCAAATGGCAAAGTGTTATCAAGTCTTACTATTTCAGTCTGAGGAAAGCGCAATTGTTAGGTGAGGGAAGTAACACCCTCTTCTCAGAGTAAGGGTAAGTTATATTCAATCTTCATTACTATGCCTTTTTAGTATTAATCATTCACTGTCATTTGTCATGTTATTTTTGCTTTGAAGCTGCTACTTCTGCAAAACTTTTTGAGTGTACAAAAAACAATTATAGCTTGGCTAAGTCACATGAAACTGGAGCTAATAACCATGATCTGCTATCAAACAGTATGGCCTATGCATTTCTGCAGATCACATGCTTCCACATGCATTTCAAAACAGAGAAAGAAACAACACTAGCAATTGTTGCTAGCTGGTTTACTTTTTAATGAGAAAAGCTAGTAAAGCTGGTAAGCATTGTTTCTCAAACCAAATGTGCTGGTAAAAAACTGAAAAAGCTTTTTATAGCATAAATCCTTTGATGTTCACAGTTAAAAAAAAGAAAAAAAAAAGAAAAAAAAATCAAGAACAAGCCAGCCTGCTTACTCAAGAAAGTCAGAGGAATTGCTTCCAACTCATGCATAAAATGATGCTAAACTGGGCATGGTATATCTGAAAGTGGCTATGTAGATAAATCAGGGTAACCTGCAACAACATGGAAAGACTACCTAAAATGCATTATACAGCCACACAGATTTTTTTGTCAAAGAAGAATACTTCTATGGAAGAATTAAACATTTGTAAATAAAAAGTAAGAAATCATCAAAATTAGAATTAAAATATAGAAATTAAAACAAAAAAAATAGATCACTGGATTCAATAACAGATGGATTAAAATAAATATTAAGAACACCATCATAATTTTGTTTATATAGAGTGTGTCATAGAGCTTAACTAAAACTACTTCTCATGTATTCTGTGTAAAGGGCTTATTGGAATAGATGAGTTGTATTAAGAGAGCGACTAAAAAGGTACAAGTTACAGGAAATGTAAATAAAACTGCTGTTATTAGATCTCAGGTTGGGGAAAAAAAAGTAAAAAACTTATGTTGTGCTTAGTTACTAAACAGAGACCTCCAACTTTAGTATTGCCTCAAAACAAGTTAATGGATTTATCAACTCAGTTTCAAATATTTATTACTGATAAGAAAAAAAAAGGAAAAAAACCACCTAAATCACTCATTTAATTCTGCAAAAAGATGAAACTTTTCTTTAAATAATCACATCTTGACAAGTGGGTGAATTTCCAATGGTAAGGTGGATAAGGGTGTATTTTCAATGCTAAACTTGAAATACAAATGTAGTCCCTATATTAAGCCCCTACGTATATGGTGTTTTATTACAAAACTTATCGAGTCTGAGTATCACTGCACACTGAAGTAGAACTTCCCAGTGGTCTGCTCAGTTGTTGACATTCTTAAAAAAAGGAGGTGAAGGCAGAAGGAGGTACAGAGAAGGATTCACCTATACAAAGCTGTCTTTGATGATAAGCAAACATCTAGCTTGTTGGGGCATGTTAAAGATACAGATAAATTCTAGGTTACTGCTCTAGGGAGATCAAAAATTGAGTCTTACCCTATAAAAGCACACAGTATCATTCAAGCTCTGTTAGACTTGAATTTGATTTCTGTCAGTTTACCTTTTACTCTTACAAACTTCTTTGATGTACATGACAATCCATCAGGTCAGTGGTGCTTTAGAAGCTAGAAATCCCTTCTTTGAAGCTTTAAGTGAAATAAATCAGCTGTCAAACTTCATGAACTCTGTTTTTTTCCTAAATAGTTTTAAATGTCTGTTTAATGTCCAAACAATAAAATATCTTTTCTTTGCTACATTTATTTTACAAGTAAAATGAACATTGTCGTTGTCCTCAGTCACCTCATTTTAAATGTAAAACTCTATTTCTTTAAACAAGTTATTGACCAAATCTATGACATATAACTGAGATACTGCAGATTTAGTTTAAAAATATGTACAACATAACTTTAACAAACAAGAAATAATATGTAGAATGCCAAAGAGTACATATACCATTTCTTTGCCTCTTTCCAAGATTGATACTCTTCAAGAATGTATGCAGTTTTATACCTGAGTAGCAGCAGCTCAGTGATTTTACTACCCTAGTTTTACATGTCAGTAAAATTAAACCTCTCCTCCCTCTGCCTTGCCAAAAGCTAGTGGGCAACAGTGAGACAGTGATCAAATACTAGTCATCTGTGATGACAGTTTTCTGACTATTGCAATGTCATAGGGTGAGGATGAGGCAAACCTTGCAGGTGAAAACAACCAAACTTTGTGTCCAATAAATAGCTCAGTCAGAAAAAGGAAAAATTGAAGAGAAAGGAGACTTGAAATTAGATTATAAGAAGAGATATACTCGGTGTGGTGGGTTGACCTTGGCTAGACGTCAGGTGGCCACCCAGCCACTCTATCGCTCCCCTTCTCAGCTGGACAGAGGAGAAAGACGGAAAACAACCCGTGGGTATGGATAAGGTAGTTTATTAAAGCTGAAGCTAGGGGAAAGCTTGTGCATGCAAAAGCAAAGGGAAAGATAACAAGGTTTATTCTCTACTTCCAATCAGCAGCAATGGTCAGCCACTCCCGAGAAGCAGGGCTTCAGCACGTGTGACAGTTCCTCAGCAGGCAGCCATTGGAGACAATGAATGCCTGCCTTCCTGCTCCTTGCCTTAGCTGTATCTGAGCTGACGTCATATGGTATGGAATATCCCTTTGGTTAGTTTGGGTCAGCTGGCCTGCTTGTGTCCCCTCCAGGACCTTGCCCTCAACTAAGGAAGGAATGTTACAGCACTGATGCTGTACTCAGCAGCAGCCAAAACACCAGTGTGTTATCAACACCCTTCTAGCTACCAATGCAAAGCATAGCATTGTGAGGGTTATATGGGGAAACGAACTCCAGCTCAGCCAGACCCAATACAACCTGAAAAAGGTTAAATCCGAGTTTCCTCTCTGCATTACATAGAACTTTTTTTAAAAATGCTAACAAGCTCTACGTTCCCTCTTGTACTGCCAAATAAGTTATTTTTAGAAGCCGCTACTCTTTAAGAACCATGTTACTTCCTCTCAGATGTTTTGGCAGACACATGGGGGCCATGTGGTATGTAAGACTGATGACACTGAATTTAGCCATTCTGAAGACGGATTATAATCCAAATTTTTTACCAATGGGACTTAGAGCACTCCAGCTGCTGTGCTACTGCCCAAAAGCATCACTACAACCACAGCAATTCCTTGCAGTAAAGACTGACTGTATTTCTGAATCCTGGAAACGTTTCTAGGATTAGTCTGTTGAGGGAAGAATATTTTGATGACATTAAAGAGGCTTATGTTGAAAATAAGTTAAGCTCTTCAGTTCTGCAAGTGCAGAATTTTTGGGTGTGCACAGAGGCAGAACATTAAGCAGCTAGTAAATTTTACTGGCAAAAGTTCAGACAACTATATACTTAGGAATGCACAAGTTGCGAAGAACATATTCCTCTTTTGGACACTTAAATACTTCCTGTGTCTTACTAAGTACTCAGGTGGTTTTTTTGTAGACTTATGTTACATCACAGGAATTTTGTGTACCTTTTAGTAAGCCATTGAAAACTGCCTGAAACATAAAAATAGCACCAGAATTTAGAGGATTCACAGTTGACTCAGCTGACAAAATACTGTTGAATACTTTCTGCTACAATGAACTAAGTTATGTCATAAACTCCTCATTTTGACATGTATTTTTAAAGAATTGCATGATTTCTACTTACTGAAATTTTTCTATTTTTGTGACATGCACCACTAAAAAGCGACTGTGAACTGCCCTACTGTATTTCTGATAACACACTATATATATAAAAAAGCAGTATAAAAATGTTACTGCAAGCAGAGTACAGAGTGTACTTACCAATATTAATTTCATCATCTGTTTCAGCATCTCCAATACACTCAAACTGAAAATCTTGTAAAGACTGTGAAAATTTTTGCACTGCTATGGATAAATCTAGAATTCAAGAAAAAAAAGAAAAATAGAAAATCAGAATTACTCCACAACAATTTCACTGGAGCAAGGTTTCATGCATTTCTTCATTAAGTACTTTTTCTGTTTACCAAGTTTCAATCTAGTATCTTTTTTGGACAGTAACTATCACCACTTCAAAATCAAAGTACCTGAGATATCCCAGACACCTGTGAAACATGCTGATGCCAGATTTCAAACATTAAAACAGGTATTATGTTGGCAACTGAAGAATAATAGCACTTCTTGAAAAATAAGAAATTGGTATAAGAAATCAATATGTAGTGATAAATTGCATATGTAAGTAGACGACTGTTTAAAATAGTTTGCAGATTAAAATACAGTTTATGACAGTTTTTTTCATTAACATTATCAGAATAATTACATTCTAATTATTCTGACACACAACACCGTACAACGTTTAGTGTAAAAGCTTTGTAAAATGAAATTGAAGAGAAAAAAATAAACCACAAGTGCTTGACAACCAACTAGGCTGTTCATGGATTATGAGCACTATTTTTGCTGAATTACACAAAGCAATCCAAACTTTATAGCATAAAATTTCATTGTAATTGTACACAACAAACCTAAATAAAGAATATCAATGTAACCACATAAATCTGTTCTGTCCTTTTTTTTAGCTATGCTAATAGCAAATGTAGAGATGAATGTGATAATGAAAGAACTTGGTCACGACTAAAAACACCACCAGTCCAGATGAACCCAGAAAACCAGTAAAAACTTTCTATGTCCTACAGGCTGTATCTGTGGTATCTATTTTGATGCTAGGAAAATTGACAATTAAGATTCTGATATCTGCTAAATATAAGTAAAATTTATGGTAAGGATAAGTTATGAACAAAAGTCAGTTTGTAAATTCTGTTTCAAAAGCATTACATATCTGTCTCCATTCTTGGGGATGTTCAAAAGCCATCTGGATATGGTCCTGGCCAACTAGCCCTGCTTGAGCAGGGGGGTTGGACCAGATGACCTCCATAAGTCCCTTCCAAGCTCAGTTGTTTTGTGATTCTGTGATTTCTTTAACCCTCTGTTATTGTAAAGTCATAAATATTCATTTACTCAATGCTGGACACAAAATTAGAGGGGTAACCTATTTCCAGGCAGGAATAAAACCTAGCAAACACAACCACACACATACAACCACAAAACATCATTTAAATTTGAACAATCTCCAACAGTAAGAACCCTTCCAATATCCTAAATGAAATAAGGGTTGAAAAATCTTTCAATCACCTCCAAATACAAATACACACAATAAGACAACTGATTTTTAAAGGCAACCACCATCAAGTAACAGAATCCCTACCAGGATTTTGCCGTCACCCAGTATTTATTCAGTGCCCTGTTCCTTTTGTATTTTTACATGCAGTTATAGAGTATATTAGTCCAACAAAAGAATCATTGGTCTATAGACAATACAGACATGAACACATTTTTGTATTGTATTAGTAAGGAATTCAATATGTTTATCTGGTAAATTACTGGGGTATAAAGAATTGGTAAACAAATTTTGTATCTTTTTGATAAATTGCGTGGAAAGCAGAAAAGAATGCATCCTTACTGCATCCTTACTGAATATTTCCTACTGTGTTGTACTGACAGTTATATTATTAAATGTATTAAAAGATTAGATGCTAAACACAGTGTTTCCTACTCTTGTAGAGATGAAAACAAAATAATCTTTATAAGCTGAAGCATTCCATTTTATGCAAATACAGTATCTTTGATAACTAACTGAATAATTGTTCTATAGCTGCTAGAAAGCTCTAAACTTGAATTTGTTCACAGTAGGAAGTTTTAAATTTAAAGGGAAGAAACAGTTTTATTGTTGGCTATTTACCAGATTACTACAATGAGTCCTAAACCCTTGTACAAAATTGCTGTATACCAACTGATGCCAAAAGGAATTACATGGTCTTAAGGTGACTCAATTAAAAAGATTCTGTATTGCAAGTGCACTGACATGTAAAAATTAACTATCACTAACAGGAATGCAGATTTATTTCCTCTGGACAATCTCATGGACTGCCTACGATAAACAGCATCTCTGTGAACGTGAAAGGAAATGAGGGAGGCATGGACCCTCCCCTATCACTCTTCCACATGTGCAGGGTTCAGTGGAACAAATGTCAAGGGAAAGGAAAACAAATTATTAAAATATCCAAGGTGGAGTATCCACTTTATATCCTGGTTTAGTGATTCATGATATCAATCTTCCTTTCAGTGTGCCAGCAAATCAGACAGTGCTCATATATTTTGGACCTGAAGGAGGCATATTTAACCTACCTCAGAAATTGTGGTTATGAAGAATGTAGTAAATAATTACAGAGCTCATTAGATAACTTGATAAAATCATTCAGAATGATACCATTTGGAGATGTCTCCCTCTATTTGAGACCTATCCTAATAACTTGAAAGGATTATAAGATACCATAATGAGATTAAAACTGTTCAATGTAGCAAAGAATAAAATGAAGTTCCAAGATCAGATGTTTCCTGTCACACTAATTTACATGTACTGTAAAAAGTTAATTTAACCTGAGAGCCTAAAAAATATTATTATACAGAAAATTTCATCTTAGACAGCTTCCTAGAGACTAGAATAAGAATTACTGTGCAAGACCTCAAAGTTCAACACTGCAGTTGAACCACCAACACTGGACCAATTGGTTATACTTATCACTTTCTTTCTTAAAAACATTATCACTTTAAATGATTACAAAAGTCACCTAGTCACAGGAAGGATCAGTTGTGCAATAAGCAGATCTCCTTTAAGAGATACGAAGATTCAAAACTGAATTAAAACAGATTTAACAGCAACTCTGTCTCCAATCAAGAAGAGGCAAATGATGGACAAAATCAGGGAAATGGAGCAGAGACTTCACCCAGTTCCACAAGATGTCACTTATCACTGTATATCCCAAAGTCTTAATGTCACCAAGAGCCCTGTGAATACATGCTGCTGCTGCCTCCAGACTTAGAAAGGTAAATCATCACTCCAAACAAATCACCTTTTTAGCATCTGCAAGCTGTGTGACACTATAAGTGTTACTCTTACTCAGCATGACGATTGTGAAGTCATGTCCCTCTTTCCATTGAATCCATGTGAACTAGGATATTTCACTTAGCCTATGACAGAAATTTTCTTTCAAGCAAAGACAACTGATTTTCTAAGTTACTATAAAAACCTCACAAGTGTTATTGACTAGCAGTACAACTCTATCATACAGGGAAGGATGGCTGCTAAAAAGTCACAAAGATACCATAAACGTTGTTGATCCTGCTCTTCTGCAGGCACTCAAATAATGTAATATCTCTGAGTACTAGCAAAGGAACGAAAATGCACTCTGATATCCTTTATTTGCCAGAGGGGTGAACTGCTAACCAGTAATTCTGTAAGTGTGTGTTTTCTGAGAGTAGTCACTTCTACCTTTTGTTCAGTTTTTCCCGATTCCAAAGAAGGATTCAGTTCAGTTTTGCAGTGAGGCATATACTCAAGAGTAGCCATCTACACACTACTTACAGTCAGTGGAAGGAGATAACTGAGACAGAGTTGCCTGTTTTAGTAAGGGCTGCAGTAAGACAACTCTGACAGAGAAAGTACTAAAGAAGCATACTACAATGTGGAGGGAAACCATAAAAGAGTAATTGCAGCTTAACAACAACGAAGTAATATAACACCAGTATTAAATATGGATACATATGATATCAACCATCAGTATCATAGTGCTAATGAAAGAATCAAATCAAAGTCATCATCCATTCAGGAAAACCACAAAGGAATCAGGAAATGCACTACTGTATTGTACTTCTTCCCAAAGTTTTATACCCTTGATCAATCTGCTTAACATATTTATTCAATAAAAAAATTGGAAAAAACCCTCTGAATTACTCTAGAAGTCAGGGTTTTTTACAATTTCCTTTGTTTGAAATTGCCAAAAATTAGCATGTAATTTGAACTGTAACATATTATCTTATTTTAAGCATCAGATAGGACCTTACAAATGGATATTGGGTGATAAAACTATGATCCAGACCCTTTGTATTACTAGAACTGTTCAACTTTCTTGTCCTAGATTCATTAAAAACATAATAAAATAATTTCTTATATAAAGCCTTGAGGAGGAGGAAGAGAGAACAACGCATTTCAACAATGTGATGAAATGATGAAAGCTGTTACCTGAAAGATGAAAAACTGAGTGTATGTTTTGGCACAGCATACCACAACAAGAATCAAGTCCTACAGATAAGGACATTTGACAAGATTTCTACAAGTTGGTAAGTGCAATCAATCTTTTATTGGGCTGGGGAGGATGTCATGTGTGTGGTTTTGCCAGTCTAGTGTCTGGAAGAACAGAAGAAAGCCCAAGCTTTGGATAGGGATCAATCCATCTACAGAAGAAGAAATTTTATGCACTTGCTAAGGACCCATATCCCCTCCCTAGCAGCAGCCTGAAAGAAACTGTCTCCAGCAAACACATCAAAGTCTTTCCACTTGTTTGCTTACAAAGATGACTTCATTAGCAAATGCAGTTCCAATAACTAACATTCTTCCCGACTGATGTCAATCATGCTGGAAAAGCTTGGTATCATTCCCTGGGTTAATAAAGAAAAACAGCAGTTGAAACCTAGCGAGAAAATTAAACATGCCGAAGTGAACTTCTGAGCGCCAGCTGGAATGCAGTAAATGGGACTTCAAAAACAGATGCTCTGGTTAATATAGTAACAGTAACATATCTGTCGATCTGACATAAAGCTAGTTATTATCACATGGCTTCAAAGACAGCAGAAACAAAGGGGTGATGGTTGAGCTGACAGGATATTACAGACAGTTCTCCAGACAGCTGAATTTCAGGGTAGTTGAAGACTTGGAAAGAAGACCACGTATGGTCATCTTTGGTGTTCTAAACCTTTGAGGAGTATGATTCCACTACTAGATATGATTAGACACATTGTGGTGCCAT